AGCAGAATAAAAAAAAGATTAAAAAGCAACAGGAAACTCTTAATTATAGTAAACAGATATTTTTGGTAGACTACTAGTAGTACAATATTGTTATAAAAATCAGTGTCTCCAGATCTGCTTCTCTCAGAGGGAAATATGGCTCCTATAAAATCAGACACCCATTCTCAATCCTTTTCATTTAGAGTAAAGATTTACCTCTCACTTATTATTTAAAAAAATTAAACATGTATGAAGATGAAAAGTCATTGCTTCTGTCTTTTTTAATCCACTAGTGTGAAACACAACTTCTTGGATTAGTATAATTTGACAGGATTAGAGAAAATATTAATTTTTTCAATTTGTTTACCTATGCACTTGACAGCACTTTGTATAGTCATTTTCTCTGTATAGTCTGTTCCTAGTTTTGTTCATGTGGGTCTCTTCATATAGCAATAAAGGATAAAAATATTTTAAAAGATTGCCATCCTAGAAAATTGGTGGGAAGATTTAGGAGCAGTTGTGGTATTTGAAACTTTTTAAATGTCTTTAAAAGTAATGAGTTTTCAAATTAACAGTACTGCTTTAATTTCTTGAATCATTATATAGCCAACCCATTTCTGTAGAAGTACGTTTGTAAATTAAATAAGCTATTTTCAACAGTGCATTAATTGAAAATCCCTGCTCTGTCTTTGTTCCCTTGACCCCCAAACCAGCTTGTTTCTTGTCCTGACTCCAATCCTGTAACCTTTTGTGGGCACACATTTCTAATTAGTATATTGTAAAAATTTAACAGGAAATAAATGGTTCTGAATAAGGAGTAATGAGTATGCCCAATGATGAAAGGAGTTGCAAGATATGCAGTGAAGGGAGTCTTGATGCATTTCCTTGTACCTCTTTCCTTATGTTTGCAGAAACTCCCATTTAAAGAAGGCAAAGCAGCTGGTAGGGTGCTGTGAGCAGTGGGTCTAGGCAGACAGCTCCACTCTAAACAGCACTTTTCCAAAGTTGAGAGCACAGTGCAGGTGAGAATGTAAAAGGTGCAGTGGAGGCAGGGCAGAACAGCAATAAGAAGGGATGGAGTGAATCCCTTTTAGGTGGGGGGAGAGAGATCCTGGGCAACATCCTGGTGGAGCTTGCATTGAGGTTGTGACCCATTATTGAGATATTTGACTAGATGATGTTGTGATGAAATGACGTTATAGGACTGAATTTGGGATGTTACATGCCATACCCAAGAGGTGAAGACAAGTGAATTATGCAGCTGTCCTAGACTTATGCCAACAGAGCCTCTAGGCCCCACTCTCCATGTAATCAGGTTTTTTGTGTCTCTTCATCTAAATACTCCCCTCTTTAAAACAGATATATTTATTTAGAAATTATTTACAAGGATAGGTTTCAGAGTAACAACCGTGTTAGTCTGTATTCGCAAAAGAAAAGGAGTACTTTGTGGCACCTTAGAGACTAACCAATTTATTTGATCATAAGCTTTCGTGAGCTACAGCTCACTTCATCAGATGCATACTGTGGAAAGTGTAGAAGATCTTCTTATACACACAAAGCATGAAAAAATACCTCCTCCCACCCCACTCTCCTGCTGGTAATAGCTTATCTAAAGTGACCACTCTCCTTACAATGTGTATGATAATCAAGGTGGGCCATTTCCAGCACAAATCCAGGGTTTAACAAGAACGTTGGGGGGTGGGGGAGGGGTTAGGAAAAAACAAGGGGAAATAGGTTACCTTGCATAATGACTTAGCCACTCCCAGTCTCTATTCAAGCCTAAGTTAATTGTATCCAATTTGCAAATGAATTCCAATTCAACAGTTTCTCGCTGGAGTTTGGATTTGAAGTTTTTTTGTTGTATTATAGCAACTTTCATGTCTGTAATCGTGTGACCAGAGAGATTGAAGTGTTCTCCGACTGGTTTATGAATGTTATAATTCTTGACATCTGATTTGTGTCCATTTATTCTTTTACGTAGAGACTGTCCAGTATGACCAATGTACATGGCAGAGGGGCATTGCTGGCACATGATGGCATATATCACATTGGTGGATGTGCAGGTGAACGAGCCTCTGATAGTGTGGCTGATGTTATTAGGCCCTGTGATAGTGTCCCCTGAATAGATATGTGGGCACAGATGGCAACGGGCTTTGTTGCAAGGAAAGGTTCCTGGGTTAGTGGTTCTGTTGTGTGGTATGTGGTTGCTGGTGAGTATTTGCTTCAGGTTGGGGGGCTGTCTGTAGGCAAGGACTCGCCTGTTTCCCAAGATTTGTGAGAGTGTTGGGTCATCCTTCAGGAATAGGTTGTAGATCCTTAATAATGCGTTGGAGGGGTTTTAGTTGGGGGCTGAAGGTGACGGCTAGTGGCGTTTTGTTATTTTCTTTCTTAGGCCTGTTCTGTAGTAGGTGACTTCTGGGAACTCTTCTGGCTCTAGCAATCTGTTTCTTCACTTCCGCAGGTGGGTATTGTAATTGTAAGAATGCTTGATAAGAGATCTTGTAGGTGTTTGTCTCTGTCTGAGGGGTTGGAGCAAATGCGGTTGTATCGCAGAGCTTGGCTGTAGACGATGGATCGTGTGGTGTGGTCAGGGTGAAAGCTGGAGGCATGTAGGTAGGAATAGCGGTTAGTAGGTTTCCGGTATAGGGCAGTGTTTGTGTGACCATCGTTTATTAGCACTGTAGTGTCCAGGAAGTGGATCTCTTGTGTGGACTGGACCAGGCTGAGGTTGATGGTGGGATGGAAATTGTTGAAATCATGGTGGAATTCCTCAAGGGTTTCTTTTCCATGGGTCCAGATGATGAAGATGTCAAGTCGCACAAGTAGAGTAGGGGCGTTAGGGGACGAGAGCTGAGGAAGCGTTGTTCTAAGTCAGCCATAAAAATGTTGGCATACTGTGGGGCCATGCGGGTGCCCATAGCAGTGCCGCTGATCTGAAGGTGTACATTGTCCCCAAATGTAAAATAGTTATGGGTAAGGACAAAGTCACAAAGTTCAGCCACCAGGTTAGCCGTGACATTATCGGGGATAGTGTTCTTGACGGCTTGTAATCCATCTTTGCGTGCAATGTTGGTGCAGAGGGCTTCTACATCTATAGTGGCCAGGATGGTGTTATCAGGAAGATCACCGATGGATTGTAGTTTCCTCAGAAAGTCAGTGGTGTCTCGAAGGTAGCTGGGAGCGCTGGTGGCGTAGGGCCTGAGGAGGGAGTCTACATAGCCAGACAATCCTGCTGTCAGGGTGCCAATGCCTGAGATGATGGGGCGCCCAGGATTTCCAGGTTTATGGATCTTGGGTAGTAGATAGAATATCCCAGGTCGGGGTTCCGGGGGTGTGTCTGTGCGAATTTGATCTTGTGCTTTTTCAGGGAGTTTCTTGAGCAAATGCTGTAGTTTCTTCTGGTAACACTCAGTGGGATCAGAGGGTAATGGCTTGTAGAAAGTGGTGTTCGAGAGCTGCAGAGAAGCCTCTTGTTCATATTCCGACCTATTCATGATGACAACAGCACCTCCTTTGTCAGCCTTTTTGATTATGATGTCAGAGTTGTTTCTGAGGCTGTGGATGGCATTGTGTTCCGCACGGCTGAGTTATGGGGCAAGTGATGCTGCTTTTCCACAATTTCAGCCCGTGCATGTCGGCGGAAGCAGTCTATGTAGAAGTCCAGTCTGCCGTTTCGACCTTCAGGAGGAGTCCACCTAGAATCCTTCTTTTTGTAGTGTTGGTAGGGAGGTCTCTGTGGATTAGTATGTTGTTCAGAGGTATGTTGGAAATATTCCTTGAGTCGGAGACAGCGAAAATAGGATTCTAGGTCACCAGAGAACTGTATCATGTTCGTGGGGGTGGAGGGGCAGAAGGAGAGGCCCCGAGATAGGACAGCTGCTTCTGCTGGGCTGAGAGTATAGTTGGATAGGTTAACAATATTGCTGGGTGGGTTGAGGGAACCATTGCTGTGGCCCCTTGTGGCATGTAGTAGTTTAGAAAGTTTAGTGTCCTTTTTCTTTTGTAGAGAAGCAAAATGTGTGTTGAAAATGGCTTGTCTAGTTTTAGTAAAGTCCAGCCATGAGGAAGTTTGTGTGGAAGGTTGGTTTTTTATGAGAGTATCCATTTTTGAGAGCTCATTCTTAATCTTTCCCTGTTTGCTGTAGAGGATGTTGATCAGGTGATTCTACAGTTTCTTTGAGAGTGTGTGGCACAAGCTGTCAGCATAGTCTGTGTGGTATGTAGACTGTAATGGACTTTTTACCTTCAGTCCTTTTGGTACGATGTCCATCTGTTTGCATTTGGACAGGAAGCTGATGTCTGTCTGTATCTGTACAAGTTTTTTCATGCAGTTGATAGATTTCCACTCCATATGGCTAAATGCAGTGCCTTGCATAATGACAGGTTTCAGAGTAACAGCTGCCTTAGTCTGTATTCGCAAAAAGAAAAGGAGTACTTGTGGCACCTTGAAGACTAATGCATCCGATGAAGTGAGCTGTAGCTCACCAAAGCTTATGCTCAAATAAATTGGTTAGTCTCTAAGGTGCCACAAGTCCTCCTTTTCTCTTTACAAGGATAGCACCTTTTAGTGCTTGCAGCTGTAAAGCCTGATGCTCTTGAATGTGTGAGCGGCTCAAGCCCAGGGCTCCAGGCAGCAAGCACCCGGGTGCCTATGTGGGTCTTAGGGCCCTAAAAGCTAGAGCCGAGCTGGTGAGCTCCTGGCCGTGCAGAGGGCCCCTTTAGAGCTTGGGTTGCCCCGTTCTCCTCCGCTGCCTCTCCTGGGCCGCCAGCCCGTGTCCCGCTGCCCTGACGCCGTCAGGCGCAGGTCACAGCTGGACGGGGGGCGCCCGGGCAGTCTGCGGCGCCGCTGTTGGCTGCGTGGGAGAGTCGAAGCCGGCCCGCTGCGGGCTGTGGGCCCGCTGCCGCCCGGCGGGGCGGGGACCGACCGCCGGTGTCCTGGCAGCGGGTGAATTGCTCCCGTGTTGGGGCGGGGGGAAGCGCCGGGATCCCCCCGAGGCGTGGGCGCGCGGTACCCGCTGCCGGCTCTCGGCGGGGCAGCGCGACCGCTAGGGGCTCCTGTGAGCGGCGGTTACCTCAGAGCCGGGGAGATGGCCGGGGCGAGCGGCCGGGGGGACCCGCTGGCGTTGGAGGAGCCTCCGCTGCCCAGGCCCTCCCAGCCGGAGAGCCGCTTGGGCGACCAGGACAGGCTCGCGCAGGTGGGGGCGGGGAGCGGACGGCTTCCTGCCCGGGGAAGGCGGTGCCCTGGCTGAGAGACTGGGAGGGACGGGGGCCGGCCGCCTGCCCGGGGTGGGAGGGGGTCAGTGTCTGGGGGCGGGGTGGGTGGCAGCCCGGGTGTGTGTGTCAGTGCCTGGGGGGTGGGGTGGGTGAGAGCCTAGGGGGTGTGTCAGTGCCCCAGGGGCCGGGGGCCGGCCGCCTGCCCGGGGTGGGAGGGGTCAGTGTCTGGGGGCGGGGTGGGTGGCAGCCCGGGTGTGTGTGTCAGTGCCCCAGGGGACGGGGTGGGTGGTGTGTGTGTCAGTGCCCCAGGGTGGATGACAGCCAGGGCGGATGTGTCAGTGTCTGGGGCCGGGGTGGGTGACACCCAAGGGTGGGGTGTCTCAGTGTCTGAGGGCAGGATAGGTGGGTGGGGAAGTCTCAGTACCTGGGAGTGGGGGTCAGAGCAGGGTGTGTATGTCTCAGTGCCTGGGCGCAGGGTGGGTGAGAGCTGGGATGTGTGTGTCTCAGTGCCTAGAGGGTGGGGTGGGTGAGAGTGGGGGCGGGGGGTCTCAGTGCCTGAGGCAGGGATATGTGAGAACCAGGAGGAGAGGTGGGTCTCAGTGGGGGTGTGTGGGAATTCTTCTGTGTGTGGGTGGAGAGGGTGTCTCAGGGCGGAGTTGGGGGCAATCAATAGGAGCACTACTGGGATGAGCTGCAGACTGCCCTGTTCCTGTAGGGCCAATAAATGCCAGAGGCTGCTAATTGGGGACAGCTGGGACTAGATGTTTTCTTCCACCACCTCCCCCCCCCCATCTGTGGAAAGTGTCGCCAATCTAACTCTTCTATGCAACCAGCAGGCTGACCTCTCCCCCGTGCCCATGTGCTCCTTTAATTCGCACCACAGTGATGTATTTGTGTATTGCAAAACTTGGTTCATCCTCCTACCCATAACACCAGTGCCCTTTGCAAAAAAAATCTGTGACCTGATTGTGGTAATAGTTCAACTGCATATTTCATTATGGTTTCATTATAATTAATATGCTATGCTGAAAGTGGTGTTAGTAACATGCATACAATTGTCTGTGAAGCCTGGAGGGGAATTTGTCAACCTATCCAGGAAAAGAAAGAAAAGCAAGAACAAGGCAGGTGTAATGTACTAAATTCTTAAAATACACAATTTATATTTTTAAATGGTTAATGTATTCATTGCCCCTGAAAGCAGAGGACTGGAAGCATCCTTTGTTACTTTACATGTATAATGAACCACACTATAATAATCATGACAAATCAGACAAACTTATTTAGCCTTTCTGATTGTCAGTTCTAAAGAGCATACTGACATATTGATACTGAACAGCAGTCAATGCACTACCGTACATCTGTGGAAGAAGCCGCACAAAAAATGAACACCTGCTCAAGGAGGTTTGCAGTGGCACAGGATGAAGGCATAGTCTAGGATTATATCACATTAAAGAGTTTGTGGATAATAAGCTAAGGAGTAAACAGATACAGTGGAGTCTTTCAAGCAACATGTCACCGTTCCTCCATGGATCAAGCCGAGGATGCTAGGTTCAAGACAAACTGTTGAGAAATAGAGTAGACTCACCCCAAATTGATGATTATTCTTCCATAAAATATACCAACCCAGTAACAAAAGTTAACTTCTATCTCACCACACTGGTTAACAAGGAGTCCAAACAGCAGTCTCCTTAGGGATCCCAGACCTTGTTTCACCACCCTGACACTAGACCAGAGGTGGGCAAACTACAGTCCGCAGGCCACATCCAGCCTGACAGCCGATTTAATCTGACCCTCAAGCTTCCGCTGAGGAGCAGGGTCTGGGGCTTGTCCTGCTCCCGCACTCCAGCTGGGGAGCGCGGTTGGGGGCCACTCTACAAGTGTGTGCCGCGGCTCCCGGAAGCAGCGGCATGTTCTCCGTCCAGCTTCTACGCATAGGGGCAGCCAGCGGGCGCTGCCCCCACCCCAAGCACCACCCATGCACCTCCCATTGGCCAGGAACTGTGGCCTGGCCGCGCCTCCCTGTAGGAACTGAAGGGAGGACCTGCAGCTGCTTCCGGGAGCTGCTTGAGGTAAGCGGCGCCCGGAGCCTGTACCCCTGAGCCCCTCTAATGCCCCAACCCCCTGCCCAACCTCTGATTCCCCTCCTGCCTTCCAAACCCCTTGATCCCAGCCCAGAGCACCTTCCTGCACCCCAAACCCCTCATCCCCAGCCCTATCCCAGAGCCTGCACTGCCAGCCAGAGCCCTCACTCCCTTCCCATGCCCCAACTCCCTGCCCTAGCCCTGATCCCCCTCCCACCCTCCGAATCCCTAGGTCCCAGCCTGGAGCACCCTCCTACAACCCAAACCCCTCATCCTCAGCCCCACACCAGCGCCCTCAACCCAACCCAATTTTGTGAGCATTCGTGGCCCACCATACAATTTCCATACCCAGATGTGGCCCTCGGGCCAAAAAGTTTGCGCACCCCTGCACTAGACTATATGATGAGTGGTTATTGAAGACCAATTTAATCAAACAAAGGGTTCTTTTAATCCCAAGAGATCAGACCACACAACCAGGTCAATATATAATTCAGATTTTACCCATTAATCACACTGTTGCCAGTCCTTTAGTATCTAATATCTAAAGGTTTATTTATAAGAGAGAAGAAAGAGGGGAGAGTTAAAATGGTTAAGGAAAACAAATATATATGCTCATTTCAAAGTTTTTATATCAGGTTTGAAGCAGTGATGTTACAGACTGCTGGCTTGTAAAGACTCTGGTAACTTCCAAAAGATTGGAAGGTCCTTAGTCCATTGGTTGGAATGTTCCTTTTAGTGTAAGTCCATAGTCCAAAGATCAGAGCAGGAAAGAGGCACAACTGAGATGCTTCCAGGGGTTTTTATACTTTCTCCCATGTGGAGGAACTTCTCTGTCTTAGTTTGTGGAAAATTACAGGCACAAGATGGAGTCCAGAGTCACATGCAGAGGCAGATTAAGGTTTCCTGGGGCCCTGGGCCAGAGCAAATGGGAGACCCCTCCCCACCCCTTCCACCTGTGGGCCTGTCCCTGTTCCACCCCCTCCACATGTGACCCCACCCATGGCTCCACTCCTATTCCACTCAGGGTCCCCCCATTCTGCTCTTCCACCACTGTGGCCCCCAAACCAGAGAAGCTCTCTGAGAGCTCCAGTTCCGGGGCTGCAGCAGGAGTCCTGGTGCTGGGACTTTCCCCACCCCCCGTCCCAGCTGCTGATGGGGTTAGGGGGCACTGGGGGGTTCCCCCACTGCTACCCCGGTGCTACTGCCTGGGAGCGGGATCAGGGCAATGGGGCTTTTCCCACCCGCTCGGGGCTCTGGGGCCCTTGAGCATGAGCTCTGTAGGCCCAGTGGCTAATCCGCCACTGGTCACATGCTCTTTCATGCTTTGATGACTCATAGGAGTGGCTGTTACCCATGTTCTGGCTAAAGTGTCCACAGGAAGGCTCACAGGATGTGGACAAGCTTCTTCTGTGGCTCATTCAGAGTTAACTGTTCCTTAATACGCCATCAACTTGAATAGTTCATTCACAATGTGTTGGCCAGACTGGATATAAATTACCTTGTGGGTGTTACCACAGGAGCAAACACATTTGAAATACAGTCAATATTCATACTTTTAGATGCAAAGATGATACATGCATACAAACAAGATAATCATATTTGATAGATTGTAAGTTTTCCATTGATACCTTATATGACATACATGACATACATACTTTGTATAAGATTTGTTGCAATTAATCAAATAATTAATACATTATATAAATGGTCATATTACAATCATACAGCGCACACAACAGTCTTCAAGAATCAAAATAGATTTTTTGAAACTTAAAGAAGAGCAAGATCATTGTCATGTACAAACAGGTGCTTAAAAAAAAAGTCTTGCTGTGATCTGCCAAATCAACTGCAATCTAATAACAGAGAAAGATGAGTGTGAATGCTTTCAAACAGCAGGAACTAAAATATTCTAAGCAGGTTATTACTTTCAGACTATCTCTTGAGGACTAACTTGTCAACAAGAAAGATTTATTATACAAGATAAAATGTACTCCATCTTTGTTCTGTTCATTTACAGATCCACTTAAAAATTTTGAGAGGGCACTGTGATACTGTGAGCTCCTGTCATTTCTGCTTTGAAGATACAAAAATTCTTTCATGCTCTTATGACAGAACAATTAAACTCTGGGTAGGTAATGAATCTAAACAATTCAACAGTCACACCATAATAATGTCTAAACGAAGCAAGCAACGTCATATAAGTATGGAGGTTGAGTGAGTCATAAATTAACCTTCTAAACAGCTTTTTATTCTGTTTGTAAAATAACTAAACTGTTTCACAGGTACAATTACAGTGGTAACACTCCTATTCCATACTTTGAACATATTCTTTGACATTTAGCAGTGTTCCATGTAAGCACCTGGAGATGAATGTTCTTACACACTAGTGAGGGAGAGCTCTACTACAATATTACATAATATGTCAACTCTTTCTGGAAAAAATCCCATTCCATTTTGACTTTTTTCAGTGGGAATGTCATCTTGTGCTGCTTTTATAGGGTTAATTAAGTTTTTTTTTCTCTAATTCTCATGTTTTTTCCTCATTAATTACCTGAACCTAGTCTCTGACTCAGCAAAGAACTTAAGTATGTATGTAGACCCTATTGACTTCAGTAGGACTTAGACATGCATTTAAAGTGCTTTGCTGAATAGCTGTGGACTTAAGCACATGCTTTAGAGTTTTGCTGGATCAGCGCTCTAGCTCTTTGAATTAAATACTTCACAACAAATAACTTGGTACACAATTTTTGGTTTCTTTTGATCCGGAGGTTCATTTTGCTCACCATCACAGTGTTTGATGTATACAGTCTTTCTTTGAGAATAGTGTAAGTCAAGGGTTATGCACTATAGGCACCAGATTTAGCTGTCAGCAAAGGCATAATGTTTTTTACATGTGCTGCCTTTTGTTTGCAATGAAGTCAAATCTGTCTGTTCTTTACTTTCTATCTGTTCCGATGCCCTTGGCCAGTTTTATGAAGTTACCTAGGGTTCCCACAAAATTACAACCAGGTTGGTTACAGCAACCAGGGTTACCCTCACTGAGACACACAGGAACCCTGGCTGATGTGATGTGAAGGTTATTTATTTCAGTCTGTTCTAAAAGATGGCCCAGATCCGTATTCTTAGATAAGTACTATACCTGACGTTCATAGGAGCAGTTGACAACTCAGCGGTACTGAATAGTTTGAAGGTACTTATGCCTGGCATATATGAACTGGTTTGTAACTTGATTCAAATATTCCCTGCTGAGGCTGGTATTAAGGAATGGTAATGCCTTAATATTGTGAATACAGGTGTAGAGGCTATGGTGCCATAAAGAGATCTTTAGTGCTGCACGTTTATCCAGATACCATGCTTAGCTTCCATTATGACATGTTAAGATATTTTCTAGTGAAAGTTTGGGAATAGATGAAGAACAAAGCTTTACTTGGGGTCAGCTCAAGCATCCACAGTGTTCAACACTTCCAGGGTATCCAAGAGACAGGATTCATTCCATCGTTAGCTCCTCCCGTGAAACAGCTGAAGAGCCGCTCCCTTTTTGATAGGTTTCAAGGCAGATAATCATTATTACAATGGTGATGTTTAAGGAAATATTTGTAGGAGGCAAGACAGTAAATAAATGTGTCCAGCCAAGTGGATCATTAAGATGTTCACAATTTAATGTTGATAATTCCATCACATTGTCAGAACTACATACTCACTCCTCATCCCATCACAGAATTGGAATTTGTAAAGTATAGATTCTTCTGTTTTTAGTGAAAACCTATGGCATCGTGGAATCTTCCTTAAGTAAACTAGATGGAGGGGACGCATGAAAGCCACTTCATTGAAAAGAGAATATAATGTATTGAATATTTTTTTCTTCAAGTGTGGAAGATTAGTACTGTCTGATGTGACTTGCTTATCTTGGGCATAGTTGTGTAAGAAAAATTTTATCCTGCACTTCCTGAGAAATTATTTTTTGTCAGGAGCTATCTAAGAGAATCTACCTGAATGTTGAGGGCTTCCTTATAAGGAACACATAAGAGAAACAATGGTTCATTTATCCTGATAACTTCCACTTCGTCAGGACAACTCTGATTTCCTCTTCTGTAGGAGTAGGTGGGCCAGTTAGGATTCATAAAAGACCAGGTTTGATAATAAAGAGCTAGGGAAACTGTCAATTCCACTTTGAAGTCTCTTTGTTTCTTTTGAAAGAGTAGGTATCAAATGTATATCTAAGAAAGTATTTGGAATTCCTCTTGTGAATAGAAAGTATTTCACTGGCAATGCACACATCTTTTGGAAAACACAAATTAATAAGGCACAGTACACATGGTCTAGATCAGTGGTTCTCAACCAGAGGCACATGTACCCCTGAAGGTATGCAGAGGACTTCCAGTGGGTACATCAATTCATCTAGATATTTGCCTAGTGTTACAACAGGCTACATAAAAAGCACTAGCGAAGTCACTTGAAGTGAGCTGTAGCTTACGAAAGCTTATGCTCAAATAAATTGGTTAGTCTCTAAGGTGCTACAAGTACTCCTTTTCTTTTTGCGAATACAGACTAACACGGCTGTTACTCTGAAACCTGTCACTACAAACTAACATTTCATACAGATAATGACTTGTTTATACGGCTCTAAATACTATACACTGAAATGTAAGTACAATATTTATATTCCAATTCATTTATTTTATTAATAGATAGTAAAAATGAGAAAGTAAGCAATTTCTCAGTAACAGTGTGCTGTGACACTTTTGTATTTTTATGTCTGATTTTGTAAGCAAGTAATTTTAAAGTGAGATGAAACTCGGGGTATGCAAGACAAATCAGACCCCTGAAAGGGGTACAGTGGTCTGGAAAGGTTGAGAGTCATTGGTCTAAATAAGACTAGGACAGTTTTGACTGCAAGGCTTTTCTTGACTCACAGAAAAATAAAACAAGATTGTAAGTTTGAGTTTTTTTGTTTGTTTCAGCCTTAGAAAAAGACATGATGGCTCTAATGTCTGCTATTGGAGCACTGAAAAATAAGAAAGAAAAATCAGACTTAAAATAAATTTACTTTCATACAAATTCTCTGTATCATTCACAGCTGTTAATTGAACAGAATAACTTCCAGTTGAAGTATCCTGTCAGGGGCAGCTGCTGCCAAGATTCAGACTGTGCACATTTCAAAAAGTGGGAGTGAGGGGGAGGTTCAAATGTAGCAAAGCTTAACTGAACAGCACAGCAGCCTTTGAAGGGGCATGTGCAAGTAAGGCAACTTACAGTGCCACACGCAGATCCTGATCCTGAAAACTCTTATTCAGATTCAAAAAATCCCCTTGAAATTAGTGGCACTACTTATATAAAATAAAAGCTTGATCATATGAATAAAGGAATAAAAATATGTTGACCTAGAGTTACCACTGAATGTCAAACTTTCTTTATTGTATTTGAAATGTGTTTAGGTAGCACTTCCCATTGTGTAAAGCTCAATTATTATTATTTTTATTACCCTAGCACCTAGGAGCTCTGATTGTGGACTAGGACCCCATTGTGCTGACCCCATTTTGTACAAACACAGAACCAAAAGATAGACCCTGCCCCAAAAAGCTTACAATCTGAATATAAGACAAGACACAAGGGGCAGGGGCAAGGAGGGGAGTAAAAGGAAAGGAGACAGTTTTGGTCAGCATGATAGGCTGTGGTCGCAGTACACTAGTAGTCTAACCTTTGTCGTCTTTGAAGGTTTTGACAGAGGGGATGATGAGGTAAGCTTTACAGATATTTACAGGGAGTGCCTTCAGGCATGAAAGGCAGAAATGTGAGAAAACACAAAGGTATTTGAAAATGTATCAAGTGGGCAATGGAGGTTGATGTCATGGGGTGACTGAAGGCAGGAATTGACATCTCGCTTGTGAGAGATATGTAAGGTGGGGATAGGACATGAAGGGCCTTGAAAGTGAAACAAGTAGCTATGTTTGATGCAATATAGCTAGAAAGATGATTGCAGCAGAATTCTGAATGGATATGAGCAGGGCCAGATTGCATTTGTCAAGGACAGAGAAAAAAATGTTGCAATAAGAGAGAATGAGATGGTCTGAGAGCCTGGATAAATGTTTTAGCTGTGTGGATGGATAGGAGAAGCTGTATTTCAGAGAAGTTATGCAAAAAGAATATGTAGCTTGGATGTGAGGGCTAGAGAGGACCTGGTGAAATTGGAGGAGAGGAGCTCCAGACCGTGACTGTAACAGTGTATTTAATGAGGTTAGAGATTAAATGGAGATAGCGTGGTAGTTGGAGAGGCAAGTGGGATCAAAGATGGTTTCTTTAAGATAGGAGAGACTAAAGCATGCTTGCATAGTAAGGAGAAAGAGTCAGAGGAGAGTGAGAGGTTATGGAGAAGAGAAGGGAGGGGTTAGAGTGTGCACAAGGGAGAGCAGGGGATGGGATGGCATCACAGGGGCAATGGAGGGATTAGAGGAGGAGAGCAGATGAGAAATGTCTGTGAGGGAGAGAAGGAGAAAATTGTATGAGGGGTTAAGAAGGTGAGCCAAGCAGAGAAGGAAAGTCAAGTTGTGTTTTGTCAATTTCCTCTGGGAAGAAATTTATGATTCATGGCTCTCATTGTGCTAGGCCCTGAACAAAATGTGTTCCCTGACTCAGAGAGCTTACAGTCAAAATATAAGACAAGAGACTACAGGTGGATACAAACAGACAGTGGAGTAAAAGGACATACTGAGACAATATTGGTCAGCATGACAGGCGGTGGTCTCAGGACACTAGTATTGATGACTGATTTGTAGAACAGGTAAAAGGTCATTTTTTTCATGGATAAAGGTAATAATCATTCTATTTCTCAGATCAGATGTTACAACTGAGACCAAGTTCACTGATTTCAGATCTTTTATATGTTGCATTTTATCTTTTCAAAATCATTAATCAAGCTCCTTTGGATTTATTTAAGGATGTTGAAAAAGGTGTTCCTGTTCAAGTCTTTGAAGAAGAACACACAGCTCCCATTTCTGAGTGCAGCTTGACTCCTGATAACAAAAGGTGACATTTTATTTGTAGTTCATATGTAAGTATAAATAGAGAGGAGAAAGTGGTCTATTTGACTGCTAGATGTTACATTTTTACAGCAAATGAAAAAAACCAGAATGAAACTCAGAACAAATAAACTGAGTATTGCTCTGATGCTTCTAGATATATAGATTTGTTAGAGAGGAAATTGAATTAATCTTTTCTAAATACACAGAGATAGCTGTGTTGAAGGTGATTAAAAATGTGCAGATAGAAAAACTGTTATGCCAGTTAGCTTATCTTTGACCATTTAATATTACTTTTATAATGCAGTAAAATGAATGATTGTTTTGGTGTAAACAGATGTGTTTGAAATTAGACACTAAATTATTGGAACAGTATTCTGTTGTTATATTTAGAGCAGGGGTTCCCAAACTTGGTTCACGGCTTGTTCAGGGTAAGCCCCTGGCAGGCCACGAGATGCTTTGTTTACCTGAGCATCCACAGGTGCGGCCGCTCACAGCTCCCAGTGGCCGCTGTTCACCATTCCCAGCCAATGGCAGTTGCGGGAAGCGGACACCACTTTTTACTCTCCCAGAATAAGAATAATGAGCTGATGGTGTCTTCAGAGAATGGAACATTACTTACTTTGTGATTCTGCTTTTCTGAAGAAGGATTCTTCACCCATCCACACGAGGCAGAGAAGGTTATTGTATTTACTATGTAGTGCAAGATTTTGTGGAGCTCTTGCTTCCCACTCTTTAAAGTAACTATCTGAAATGTTTTGGGGCCTGTGAAGTGGGAGCAGGCTCAATTGGGGGGAATCCTAGAGCCAGCCTACAGTCATAAATGTTAAGAGCTTGGAGAATTTCCTGAATGACTTGTGCTGGTTGCACAAGACCCAAGAGCGAGGACCCTGCAAGGTGTTATCTTCAGAGAAGCATAATAATAAAGGTAAGTAATTTTTGTTTGCAGTAATATTAACAAAGTGCAACTTTCCTCACTATTCCCACTGCTAAACCCTTTGTCTTCGTAATTTATTATCTTAAATGCCTTAAACTTCTCTTCTCAGGACTTTGTTGCCTCTCCCTATTCAAGTCTACACAAAGTGGATGAACTCATTTTGCTCTCCTACTGTTCCAGTTGTATCATCCCCTCTTTGAGTCTCTTCATTGACTTCCTTCTTTTAGTATAGTGAATTCAAACGTCTTTTCCTTAACTTAAAGGTCCAACCTAAACTAGCCCCTGCTGTTATGTCTTCTCATTCTCTCTTGTTCTTTATCTTCTTTATCCTCTCCATCTTTCTTTTCCTTCCTCTTCTTTGCACCTTCATTCATGCTAATCCTACACTTGGAACAGTCTCATGTCTGCAAAGCTCCTTCTCTACTTTCAGATCCTTAAAACTCATTTCTTCCAGGAATTCTTCTGATCTTATTCTCACCAGCAACTTGTCCAACACTCCTTAAAACTTTCTATTTTAGAACCCAATGCAATGCACATTAAGGAATGGGAATCTTTCATTTGGCTTCAGTGAGTGTTAGAACAAGCTCTTCAGGACACAGAACTTGTCTAGATTAGACTGAAAGCTCTATGTACTTAGAGATATGTAAATGTATACCACTGTATAAATGAATAATAATTCGTGAACTAGCCTAGGATCATGGGTTTCTTCTGATATTGGAATTAATATATTCAAAAAGTTCTGTCTTGTCTGTATTGTTTATCAGCATTCTACATCTCTGCAGTCAACTGTCATAATTTTGTCAGGCGATGCATCTTATCTAATGTCCTGCCATGGACATTAATCACTACAGCAGCTGTGGCATACACAAACAGTTGAATGTGTAGGTCAAGCAATGTCTCGAAGGGTATTATTCCTGGTATTGCTATCAGTGGAGCATAGTCTAGATCAGGGGTAGGCAACCTATGGCACATGTGCCGAAGGCAGCACACAAGCTGATTTGCAGTGGCACTCACATTGCCCGGTCCTGGCCACCAGTCCCAGGGGCTCTGCTTCTGGCCTGGGGTACCGGCCACTGGCCCACTGCCAGCTGGGGTTCTGTCCGCTGGCCCCGCTCAGCCCGCTGCCGGCCACAGGTCCTGGCCACCGATCCGGGGGGCTCTGCTGCCCTCCTGGGGTCCTGGCTGTCGGCCCGAGGCTCTGCAGCCGCCCCGAGCTCTGGCCCACTGGCCCCAGCCTGGGGCAGTGAGGGGTGCAGACGGGGCAAGAGGGGGTACAGCTCAGCACCCCCACCTTCAAAATTGTTCCAGTGCCACTGTACTGGGATATTTTTAAGTCCTGATTTGCTGCTTACATCACTATGACGCCACAAGGAAGAGCGCACTGCGTTTGACGTTGAGATTAGAAGGTACATGCAAGAACTGGAATCAGAATTTTCTGACAGATTTCAAGATTTCCAGCGATTTGGTCCAATGCTTTCTTTTCTAATTAAACCTGAAAAGTTCAACGAAAGCGACTTGGATTTGTCTGTATTTCAGTGGATGGGTGTTGAAGATTTCAAAATGCAGCTCATTCAGTTAAAAAGCTCAGAATTGTGGGCGTCAAAGTTTGGAGATCTGCGGAGTGCACTTGAAGCTACCGAGAGAGATCATAGGGCTTCTATTCTGACCTGCTGGATGTCCCTGCCAGTGAAATTTAAATGTTTGAAGAAAATTGCATTTGCAATGCTTTCAGCATATGTATCCACATACCTGTGTGAACAGGTGTTTTCACACATGAAATCTGTCCTCTGTCCCTCTCGGAGCTGGTTAACACCTGATCACTGAGAAGCCTGTGTGCAGCTTAAAGTATTCAAATACGTGCCAGACATTGGAAAACTCAGCAAGGAAAAGCAAGGGCAAGGACCACACTAAACTGATAAGATCTGCATTTTAATTTAATTTTAAATGAAGCTTCTTAAACATTTTAAAAACCTTATTTACTTTACATACAACAATAGTTTAGTTATATATTATAGACTGATAGAAAGGTACCTTTTAAAAATATTAAAATGTATTATTGGCACGTGAAACTTTAAATTAAAGTGAATAAATGAAGATTTGGCACACCACTTCTGAAAGGTTGCCGACCCCTGGTCTAGATCAATTCCAATCAAGTTGGAGGATTGGCAAAAAAAACTTTTAAGTAGTGACAAAACTTTGGTCACCGCACTTTAAATATGCTAACAGTGCCTTTTGCTGTTGCCTGAGTTTTTGAAGATTGCTAAACAAACAAGCAGAGTTTCATAGTTTGTTGACCTTTATATCTGTTTCCAGTCAAAAATAGCATTGATATATAAACTAGATATGGACTTTATGTGTTAGGTTATGTCTACTGAAGAGCAGAAAATAAATTGTAGATTGTCAGAAGACTAATGTATGAAATTCCTTGCCATCTAGGTTCCTTTTATTCTTTTATTATATTTAAAATCCATTTTCATGTTGAACTTATATAAAATGATATTCAGTGACATTGTAATAAATTGGTCAAAAACTGAACAAGTGAAAAGCCATTATGGTAATAAAGAATAACTATCATGTTCTTTAACATTCAGAATAAATGTATTTAAAATATGTGGGAATGTTTTAAGAAAAGTGTAGAAGAAAAAAATTAATGTGAGCTCCCATTTACCAGAAACCTGTCAGTTTCTAGTAAACTTTATTAAATGGCTTTGTTGTGTAATGTGGCTTTGTATTTGTGCATAGCAAGGTCAGTGGTGTTACGCAGCAATATCAACTCCTGAAAATGCAAATAACTAGCAACGAAGACACTTCACATTCATAACAACAAGCCCACCATAATTGCTTTATATTCATTCTAAAGTTAGTGATAATTAAATAACTTTTAATGGGACGAAATGAAAATGAGTAGGCTGTCTGTACTCAAAATTACATAGAAGGCATTCTTTTGTTAATTTCTAGTGCGAAAAATTCCAACTTTCATTTCAAAATTTCCAACTAACTCCTTTTTTTGGCAATAGTTTTTGCAAAAATATAAAAACAAAATATATTTGTCTTAAATTATTGGGAAGTAGAGAGAACAAATAATTTAACAAAATACTAAAAGTGGTGTTTGTTTTTCTCCCCACAAAGACAACTTTTTATTGTTTTTACACTAACAGCATTTCAAGTCAGTTCTTTTAATGGAAACATTGATTGTTGTTTTTGTTAATGTGCTTAATTTTTAGAGTGATAACATCATCATATGATAAAACAGTAAAGGCTTGGGATATGGAAACAGGAAAAATGCTTGTATGTATTGATTTTTTCAATGAGTTTAGCTTTTAGCAGAAATTGGTAGTATTATCACATTCATAAAGATTTTTAAGTTGGAGGTACAGTAAAAAATGCAATCCTCACATTACTGACCAATGTGGTCTAGTTGGAGTCTGTAGGCTCAGCTGTGAGAGCGATTAACTGTGTGACCTAGGGCAAGTGAATTTCTTGATGTGCCTCAGTTACCTCATCTGTAAAATAATACAAGAATGATTACCTCCCCAGAAGGCTACCTTGAGGTTTAATTCATTTAATATTTGTGGCCAATTTTATGACCTCAGCTGGCCGGTGCTATCAAATTTTAAATTTATTGCTAATGCAAAATATTACGTGGGTTTAAAAAATTGAAATACTGTAAACACACATGTATCAGAGTTCATTAAAATATCAAACAGTAGCAAAAACTATTCCTTCTGAGCCTATTTACGGATTACAGAAGAACGGATAAGAAACTATGTCATAACTAATCCCCAAAAGCATGACTTTCCATTTATTTTCTTCGTCAGTGGACTGTCGACCAAGAAGGTCTTGTAACTTCATGTAATATTTCGTGTGATGGTAAATATGTGGTATCTGGCTTAGACATGGAAAATGCTATATGTGTTACTGATGCACTAAATGCCACAACGGTGGCATATGTTCAAGGTAAGACTTTAAAACTTCACATTGTTTTCTTCCATTCTTGAATCTTGCATCTGATGAGATAATTTTTGATTGCATAAAGAAAGTCATAAAAACTAGACTAATATTAAATTCAAGATCTGTTGGATTCAAACAATCTTTTGTGAGGTTGGGAAACAAACTAATGGGTAAGGAAGGAGAAACAGAATTTAAGAAGACATATCACAAACATGCCATCCACATGGCAGTGAATATGGAACATCAGGATTTTATTTCTATAGGATGTTTTTGTCCAGTTACACTTTGTTCAGCTTTGTCAATGTGTATTAAAATGAGCGTGTGCAAGAATCTTAACCATATGTGTTGGTTAGCATTCTGCAACTCACTCTTCCTTTTCTCCCATCTCTTTCCTCTCCTTCTGAAGTGTTTGTTTTCTGTAATAGACTCCTCAGAGGATTTTTAATTCTAGATTTTTCAGGATCAGTAAATTGGTGTTGTCTGGTGTGAGTTCTGCATTTGAGGTGCACTGATGATGGAATGTATCCCAGTTCTCTAGGTCTGGTTAAGCTTCCTGAATTACTTAAGGCCCATGTAATCCCATGGGTCTGCACAAGCCCTATGCGCTCTTTAAGTGGTGTAGAAGGGCTTGGGTGGGCTCTGTGCATTCTGGTAAGTTGTATCCCAGGTCCGGTGACATGAGTTAATATTTCCTTCTGTTTTCTTCCCAAAACCTTTGTGATAGTTACTATGCTATCATAAAAGCACCAGGAACTGGAGGAAGATGGGATAAGAGATAGATCAATGATAACATGGTGCATGAGTCCACTTGTGGACTCATAGATAAACATATAAGACTGAATTCTAGTGGTTGCTTTGCAGTAACCAAGAAGGCTTGTGTGTTTTCTCTCCGTATGTACATAAACATATTGTCTTGTCAAGTTAAACTAACTACAGTTATTTTGTTACAAATATCACTTTAGATTGATACATTTCAGAGGAACAGCCGTGTTAGTCTGTATTCGCAAAAAGAAAAGGAGTACTTGTGGCACCTTAGAGACTAACCAATTTATTTGAGCATGAGCTTTCGTGAGCTACAGCTCACTTCATCAGATGTTTACCGTGGAAACTGCAGCAGACTTTATATACACACAGAGAATATGAAACAATACCTCCTCCCAGCAGGACAGTGGGGTGGGAGGAGGTATTGTTTCATATTCTCTGTGTGTATATAAAGTCTGCTGCAGTTTCCACGGTAAACATCTGATGAAGTGAGCTGTAGCTCACGAAAGCTCATGCTCAAATAAATTGGTTAGTCTCTAAGGTGCCACAAGTACTCCTTTTCTTTTTTAGATTGATACAGTTTTTAACAATCTAATTTACTTTTCACAATTTATTCAATTTTTCTTTTTTAAACTTTCATCTCTTTGGCCTGTTAAAAAACTGACTATTTAATATCACTTTGGTTTATAGTCATTTTCTGGTTTTCATAAATTGGCACAACAACACATATTTAGGATGCAAACATTGCAAGGGCATGTTTCTTTGATTTAAAAGAATATTTCCGTGACTTTGTTTTTGTTTCTAAAAAGTTTATAGAAAAACTTCTATTTCTATTAGACTTCATAAGAACTTATTTTTATAAAAATGATGTTGTGGAGAAAAATTAGCCTGACAGCGGTTTTGATTTTTAAGCACAATTCCCCTTTGAAAGCAATTTCAGCGCTGAGACTGCGGTCCAGCAAAGCACATCAGCACATGTTTAAGGACTTGATTCTGGGTTATGCTGAGTACCTTCAACTCCCATTGAAGCCTGTGGGAGTTGAAGATGTTGCAGAATCAAGCCCTAAACACCTGAGCAATCTCATAAATTAAAGGATAAACAAACATGTATTTAAGTGCTTTGCTGAAATTTCTAGTTCTTAAAAGTCAGAAGTACACTACAACTGAATGTAGTTTCAAGATGGACAACAGCTCCATTATTCTTTAAAGGGACACTTTTTGTGAATACAGACTAACACGGCTGCTACTCTGAAACCTGTCAGAACAGAGTTGGTTTACAATGACTTTCATGGAACTACTTACATCAGGGTGGGCAAACTTTTTGGCCCGAGGGCCACATTGGGGTGCGAAACTGTATGGAGGGCCAGGTAGGGAAGGCTGTGCCTCCCCAAACAGCCTGGCTCCCTGCCCCCATCCGCCCCCTCCCACTTCCCGCCCCCGACTGCCCCCCTCAAAACCCCTGACCCATCCAACCCCCCCGCTCCTTGTCCCCTGACCGCGCCCCCCGGGACCCCACCCCCTATCCAACCCCCACTGCTCCCTGTCTCCAGACTGCCCCCCCCAACCCTATCCACACCCCCACCCCCTATCCAACCCCCCTGCTCCCTGTTCCTGACCCCTATCCACACCCCCGCCCCCTGACAGGCCCCCCGGGACTCCCACACCCTATCCATCCCCCCAGTTCCCCGTCCCCTGACTGACCCCCCCGAACCTCCCCCCCATCCAACCGCCCCCTGCTCCCTGACTGCCCCCCGCAGCCCCCTGCCCCTTATCCAACCCCCCCCCCCTTACTATGCCTCTGAGAGCAGCAGGAGCTCGCAGCCCCGCCCCTCGGCTGGAGCCAGGTGCGCTGTCCACGGGGCTGCGGAGGAGGGGGGACAGCAGGGGAGGGGCCGGGGACTAGCCTCCCAGGCCAGGAGCTCAAGAGCTGGGCAGGACGGTCTCACGGGCTGGATGTGGCCCGCGGGCCATAGTTTGCCCACCTCTGACTTACATGCTTAAAGTTTAACCATGTACTTTGCTGAATTAGGGCCTGAAAGCTTAAAAATCAATGGAATAGTGAGCTAGTGACTTATTTTTAGATTAATTAGCAAAAAAAGAAAAATCTACAAAACTACTACTCCTTTGAATTTTAAATTTTAATTTAAAGCACAGTATAAGGATATGTTTTAATAAAGTTATTCATCAAAAGACAACATAGCTGAGATTTAGCCATAACTGAAGAAAACTTAACATATCCCATAACTTTTCCAATGCACTGTATTGCTTTTGCTGGTGTTTATTGTATCTTTTCAACTGAACTGTGTGTTGGGGACTTTCATGCTGTTTTAAAAAAAGACCCTTCCATCAGCTTGTTTTGTATACAAACTGGATGATACCATGGCTAAAAAAAATCCCACATATGATATACTGGATTTTGAGTTGTACCATGTACTTCAAATGTCCTTTAACTTTTTCCAGTTTATTACTTCACATGCAAATTCTAATCCCATTGTTGAGACTATTGCAAATTAATGTTTAGATCAATAGGACTTTAATATATAGATTGAATATGATTGAATAGATGTTAATTTGTTGATAGGAAATATTTACAAAGATAATTGTTTTACTGTGTGCCTTGAAGTTTTACTGTGTGCCATGTTTACATGTTCTCATGGCAGAATAGCTGACAACTAATGTAACAAAGCCAATGAGGAGTCAGTATTTTCATAATAGAATTTCACTTTGGTAATATGTTGATAGTAAATATAATATTTATATTTGCTCATCTACAGTTTCATAGGACTGCTTAATTAATCAATCTATTGTATGATATTTCAGTCTAGTGTAATTATCCCTCCAGATCTGTGAGGAATGAAGGTTGTCAAATTTAATCAGATAATGTCTGCAAGATTATTGCTTACCTTTTTACTTCAAAATTTCCTTTTGTCTTAGATATAGGCTCTTAATGTAGTGTAGCGTAGCTTGTAGTGACAGCACCACTACACCCTTTTCCCTGCTTGGAGAATAGGATAAGTGATCTATCCTATAGCAGCTGCCTATACTATTCCTCAGATTGGACAAAAATCAGTGTTTAAGGAGCAAAGTGCTGTGCCCTCCTCTAAAGAGCTAGCATATCAACGTCTTGACCTGCCAGGTCAAGATTACTACTTTCACAGGCAGTTAGCGAGAATGGCTTAGCAGAGAGAATTATCTCAAGTCATAAGTTACTATTTTGACATGCTATTCTTTCTAGGATATTTAAAAGAATTGTTATAAATTACAATTAAAATCAGTTTGGAGTACATTTCATGAAATAATGCATTTTTAAAATATGATGTTTGTGCAGGATTCTCACTCTTGGACTCTAACTCCCTAGTATAAAATAGGAGGAACTATCTCCCCAAGCTTTTTAAGACTAAAGGTTAGTGGTAACAGGTAGGGAATCCAAGCCACCACCTCCACTTTTGTTTTATGCCCAAGGTTTAATTGCTTGTTCACATTATTGTTATTGGACTTGTTCTTGTTGCCTGCTGAAGTTGTTCTTCTGGGGTATTCCTAGAGCTGCTTAATCTCCACGAATTAGAGTTTTGGCTAGAAGATATCATTAGAGAAGGGGGAATACTGACCTGCTTCTCTGAAGATATCATTTTATGTGATATTCTTATTCACTCAACCTACTTACCTCCTCTCTGATTTCAGAAGGGAATTTCTGGGGTGAATTTTTTTCTGACACTTTGATATGTTATTGTCCTACCTTTTGCCAGATTACATTTTCAATTATTTTTTTTTGTTATTGGCTAATTTTTGTTTGTTTTTTTCCTTCATTTCCTACTTAATCGGGACTGGATGGTTTGAAGGGCAGTAAGTTAGTTCAGGTGTTTTGCATGACGCCAGTTGGGGAGGAAAGGGGGATTGTGCTCCTACTCACTGCCGTTGGTGGGAAAAAACCATCAAGAGTTCAGGGAGTTCTGCCTTTTTTGAACTACAGAGCTGAGACCCAGATGTGAGAATCCAGGAAATAGCATCTTCAAGGAAGCAGAATTACAAGATAGGTAATATTTTTGTTTTGGTTTTTATTATAGATCATCACAGAAGCACAATCACAAGATGTTGTTTTGACCCTGACAACGAGAGAGTCTCTTCGGTATCATCTGATAAGACCATAAAGCTTTGGGACATTATAGCACAATCCACCACTATCACAGTTAATGAGTAAGAAAAATAGTATATCTATATTAGGCAAGGTTTATATGTACTTTTAAAAAGTATCAGTGAAATTTGTGTTACAATTTATACTGGGAAAATGAACAGTAATTATGTAACTGAATAGCATAATACATGGAAAGGCTGAACAACATACTATCTAAATACATGTGTTAGCAGGGAATGGTCCCGCTATTATGGGGAACTGTCCTGGCTTATACACTTATACATAGTGAAATGGGTGAGCGAAAGGATCTGAGTCCTCACTCTCACTTCCTTTACCCAGAGGCTTGCCTGACCTCAAGAGCTCCCCTTCCACTCTCCTGTGTGGCAGAGTCCTCATAACCCCAACAAGGCTGGGCCCAGGATTCCTGGGGGGCTCAACCCCCAACCTTGTTGTGGTCACTTAGGGCAGGGGCTAGGGAATTCCCACTCTGGGGTGCTCTCTCTGCAGTGGATGCTTCCCTGATCCACTGATCATTACATGCAGTTCAAAGCAAATACAATTTCTTAAACAGCAATCAATTAAAAAAAATAAGGAAAAAATGGGAAAGGCTAAAGGAAAACACAAACAAAGGGACATCACAACCAGCAGTCTCTGGAATGTAAGGGAAGTTCAGTCTGTTCCTCACAAGTCCCAGGCCCCTTCTCAGGCTCTGGTTGTGCTGCAGGGATGCTGCGGGTTGGACACTTGCTCTGGCAGTGGCCACACGCTCTCAGGCTCTAGGTGGCAGGACCCTTCTTCCCAGCGTTGTCTCCGCCCTGTCAGGGTTAGGATCCCCCTCCAAGTCTGACCTGAAAGGCCTCTTAGCTGGGGGTGTCTCCCTACACTGGGCCTCCTGCCCAGGGTCTCTCTCGCTCTCACCAGCCGCTCACTGCACCTGACTCCGGACTGCTCTAGCACCAGCTCGACTCTGCCTCAGCGCTGCTGCTGCTCTGCCTCCAGCTCCCTGGGCTACTTCTCTGGCCCCTTTGCCTCTGGTTGCTGCAGCTCTCCTCCCAGATCAGGTCTGCTCTGTGAGCTGCTTCTGCGACTCTGCTCCCAGCACTGACCTGCTTCCTGGACTGGTTTTCTGGCCCCTCTGGATCTGGCACAGCTCTGCTCCCCAGCTCAGCTTGGCTCCTGAGCTTAGCCCCACTCTGTCTGACCCAGGCAATACCAGCTCACTGGGAAGGCGGGACCCCCCGGCCTCCTGACTTCTTGATTAGCCTGCCTGCCCTGTCAATCCATTGGACTTGGAGCATTGGCCTCTCCCCATTGTTCCTGGGGACTATCAGTCTCAAGGACCTGATTTCCCATCGACCTTTCCCCTTTCTTTTGGTACTGGGAGCTAGCCAACCAGAACACCCCCAATGAATTTTAGTAAGGGGACAACAGTCCCTTTACACATGGAAAGGTTAAATAATATGCTATATACAAGCTTATTGATGTGAATGATAGATGAGGTGCATCTGTCCATCTGTAAGCATTAACTAAAGCTAATCATAGTTTCTAGGTACTGAGACGTAGAATTTGATAGTGGAGAAAGCAAACAATAGCATGGGGAATGTGCTGTTGAACTGGAAGCTAGTCATGATGTTTCTCAGGACTAGCAACACTGGATAATAACATTAACAAATGTGAAGAAGATGAAACACCATTTAGCATGATACAGGTCTCTTAAAGGACTGCAAAATGGAACATATACATATGCACAGGATATATTTTTGGAGAAGGATAGGTCTTGATCTGAGTGTGGAATCAGAGTGAAATTATCTGGAGAGAAAACTCACAGCTGTTAATTCACTATCTAGAGTTGATGGCTTCTGAATCTGAAACTGAGGTGTGAAATTTGTACACTCCCTGGAACCAAAAGGTCAAATCTTGAGAGGTTCAAACTGTCCCTTCATCATTCTGAGGTAAATAGATTGACTTCTGTGCATTAACTGGAGGCATTTCAGATGAGAACATAACACCTGAAATCCAGTCTGATCATAGGTTTCAGAGTAGCTGCCGTGTTAGTCTGTATTTGCAAAAAGAAAAGGATTACTTGTGGCACCTTAGAGACTAACCAATAGTGACTGTAAAGTTCCTATAGCACTATTCTTAATATTAGGGATTTCCCTGATATCCAGGCCACCTTGCTGTTATTGAGTGTGTTGCTGCATTTGATTGGTGTATGTGCATATAGCCTGATCCTGAGAGAAGCCCCCACAACTCCCACTGAAGTCAATACTACATGAAAATCCTTATATAAAGATAGAATGCTATAGTCTGTGTAAGAAGGGAGTATGCAACAAATGAAGATATCAGATGAGCTATTGAAAAACATTAACAATGGCAAACAAATTCAGTGGTTCTGGTTTTAAATCATAAATGCATTAATCATAAATTGTCTGGATAAAAAGGTACTATTAAAGTTGCCCTTAAAAGGATTAGGAATTTACTTAGAATGGGAGACTCAGATCTGGAGCATTTTACTAATCCTTCTTTTAAATTGCAATGGATGTAGCACTGTTTCCTGCAGAGATGCTTGTAATCCCTTCCCCATTGTGGATTGCATGAATTACTAAAGTCCTGTCATGTTCTGGAACTTTGAGATTCTTTCTTGAGGTGCACCCCCTGTTCTCAAAATTGGAGTTCATTGTAGAATTGATTAAACTTTTCCATTGATTATGTTTAGTTAGTTTCAAATCACCATATAGTTTCATTACATGTAGAGAGAGACATACAGTGCTGTTTATTTGAAGGCATCCATAGCTCACCCTTCAATGTTGCCTTTTAATTCAACTGGTGTATAGTGTTACCCTGTGGGTGACAAGAAACAGGTGATAAGCTCTACTTAAAACTCAGTTAGTACTGGATCCTGTGAGATGTTAAACACTATGACTGCATCCAGAAAAGCACTTAATCACATGCTTAATCTTTTGCAAATGAGCAGTTCCAGTGACTTTTACAGAACTACTCAGATGATAAAAGCTAAGAATATGCTTCACTAGATGGGTCAGAGTACTCAGACCTTGCAAGATCAAGCCCTTACAGCATTCTAATGGCTTTAAAAATCACAGTATCCTGTTGCAGTCATTTTCATGTGTATTTCAGGGCACATACCAATGTCATCTCAGACTGCTGCTTTACCATAGATGGTCATTACTTGTGCACAGCATCGTGGGACAAAACCTTAAAAATATGGGATATAAAAACAGGGGAGTTTCGTTATCATGGACCTATTTGCTTGAACCAAGGTCATGAAGGTTCTGTTAGTTCCTGTGTTTTTAGCAAAGATGGTGAGTTATGTTAAATACCATTATACACATCTTCAAATATATACATGTACTACATTTCAGATAAGTCACAGGGGGTCACATGCCAATCACATGACTAATTTATTTCTCAATTTCAAAATTAAATGTTTTTCATTTGGATTAAATGGCTACCCACATAATGTAAGTAAATTGAAATTGATGGTCTGTATTCTGCTTTACTCAGACATCTCAAATGCTGCTTAATTGATATAATCGTCAAAGATTTTCTGTAAAAAGATCATATTGAGAGAGTAGATTGAGTAGAAACAAACTACTGAGCCACCTCATGGATTGAATGCTTGCTATTATCCACCTGGTATTAGTTAATGGTTGTAAGGCACTCTGAAAATGTAAAACACTATATACAGTATATTGGTACATATTATTATTGTTAAGCATATTGAATGAGAGAGAGAGGTTGTCACTGTGTATCTTTAGTCAGTACCTCCAGGAGTAAAGTTTCTACATGGTTCAATCCACATTTTCCAATAATGTGATATTTCAGAAAAAAATCTTTATGGTATTTTGTGAGATATAGTAGTAGAGCACTATGACTCCTCTCTATAAAATGGCTGATATTTTAATACTTTTGTATCCCAGGTAATAACTGTGTCCTGGACTAAATAATCTCTGAAGCTTAGGTGTTAATTTGCCTGTGATATTGCTATTGCAGAGATAAAGAAAACACCATCAACTTGTTATATTGAAATGTTGTCTCTCCTCTTTGCTGTGCTTGGCTACTACAAATCTTTATGCCTTGATTGGCTGTTTCTCTCAGAACTTCCCCTCTTTATACCCATAACAAACATGGCCTTTTAAAGTACTGACCCCTCTTCACCTTGTGATCCCATCTAAACCCAGTCTTCTCAGTTCGGTGATTTCAATCCTAAACTACACACTTGGGGGGAAAAAATGCTGGGAATGAAATTATCGAAGGTGGTAGCACCAACTAGTTTGGCAGTAGCATTCATAGGGATAGTAGCTGACTTGCAGATAGGCCTCTGAACAGTGGTATTTGGAAGTATCACCTCTGCTTCAAAAATCTTTATTGTGGTTCATTCTGTTCAAAGCTAATCTGATAGAGAGATCATTACAAGAAAGTTTTCTTGACACTTTCTTGACATTTTCCCACTATTTCTGTCCCATGTTAGAAGAATATGCTCTATTTGGAGTCAAGGAAATAAATTTACCTCAGGAAAGGTTTTGGAGAAGCTTCTAGTGAATGAAGTGTATTTTAGCCACTGGTTCTTAACTGCTGCAAGTACTAAACTTACCAGTAAAAGAAAAGCTATAGTAATTAGTAAATGTGATTGTTTCGCTAACCAAAACTTAGTAATTTTACAAATAACTTTTTGCTATTTTAACTTTTTTTAAATAAAATGTCTCATCAAATTTCATGTCATCAGCATTTTCTCTTTCTTTGTATGCTTGGTTGTATTTTTGATAACTTTGAATTTTATGCCTATGTTTATACTCATTAAAAAAATTCTTGGACTTCCATTACCTTGCTAGAGCATACCTAATACTAGTGCATTATTTAAATTCTGTTAACAGTCTGATCCAAGTCTGGATGGAGCTTGTTCTGTTAGTCTGTATAAAAAAAAAACCCAGAGAAATAATATGGCATCTAATTTGTGTTTTAGCATCTCTTGTAGTGTCTGGAGCATATGACAAAACTATAGCTCTGTGGGATGCAGGAGCAGGATATAAAAAGCTAGCGTTAAAGGTACTAAATTCCTATTTGCTCACTAGTTTAGTGAGAAGCTATACAAATCTACAGCTAGTATGAGTATTGTATATCTCTTTACATTAACTGATGTGTATGTATTTTTCTCTCTCTTCCCCCCACCCTAACCCTCATAAACATAGACAAGAATCTGTTACGTACTGTATGTGACTTTAATTTCTTGGGGACAACATATTCTTTTATAATTACCGGCAAGGCTATTTTCTTTGTCAGATGTGTTATTAACATACTACTAGATTTCTATCTTACTGCATCAGCTGTGATAGTAAATGCATTGTGTAGAACAGCATATTTACCATGGAAGATCATGACTTCCCCCAGTAAGAGACTGGTCAATGTGTGTATGAATTTAAAAATGCTACATGCCTTTGTAAGTATGTATGTATCCATATAATATAATGGTCTACATTAAAAAAAAGGTTAAGGTCACAAAGGAGATGCACTCAAAAGTTAGGAAAGGCCATAGTTAAGGTTGTCCATTCAACTTTTACTCTGCCCCCACGTTCATATGTATTATAATACATCTTTCGTTACAGGTTCATGATCAATCACTCTCTTATTCAGTGTTTGGGGTAGATGATGCTTAGTAAATGAGGCAGCTCCCAGCTGTGTGATATTTACTTTATCCTTATTGCTCAGTGCTTATAGCCCTTGTTCCTCATTCACTACATACAGTATGACTGCCTCATACCTGAGGCAACAAGGTGGTACATCTGTGGAGGAAGCACATTATGGTATATAGGAGCTAGTAAGTTTAGGACTTTATGGTACAAATTTTCAAAGGCCCTCCAAAATGTACCATTAAAATTTTATTATTGACTTGAAATGATCAGATATTAACTGTGAACATGATGGATTTTACCTTTTAAGAGTACAACTCTTAATTTCATGCTCTGACATGGTGTCCTTAATTCAGTTTTGGTGACCTTAAGATTGGTCTGCTGCCATGTGCTGTACATTGACTACCAAAGAAACACACTCATTGCCTGTAGCAAGTACAGAATACAGTAGCTGCACAGTCACTGTGAGAGGGCAGAGAGATTCAGGGTATCTGTTGCTCTGGTCCCTGCAGTTTGCTGGCTGGCTGGTGCAAAAACTGAGTTTAAGGTTTTATTTTGAATGGTTAGCTGTATCATTTTCAAAAGGACTCAGAGATAGTGACTGAAACTTACAGGTGCCCTCCTTGTACTTGGGTTCCCACTTTGGAACTGTAAATGAGAAAAGATCAATATTATAAATCTGAATAAAATTCTGAAGCCAAAAACATCAGTGAAATACCTTCATTGCTGAAAAAGACACTTAGCTAAAATATTTACCTTCAGAATTTTGTTTCTTCAGTCCCACTCTTTGTTACTCACACTTAAAACTGACTCTTTGGTTTTAAAGAACTCACTTTGAACCCAGAATCTAAAATAAGAATTATCCTTGTTGCAAGTGACTGGGTGTGGAAGAGATCTTGAGAGCACCGATTATCATCGCCACGAGGACAGACTGCTTTTGATATGGAAGATACTGTTATGCTCTAGAAGAGTATGATTCAATAAGTCAGTCACTTCCAATGTGATTTAGGTATCTGATATTAGTGTCCAATGCATGTAGGTTTTAAAACCTTTCAGTAGATCCTAGCAGTGAATTTAGAATATTAGTGGTGTTGACAATAAGGCTATTTTTTTGTACCTCTGGCATACTTTTAATCCCATCTTTTCAAATTTGTGTGTGTAACGTGCTTGTATTATTTACACATGCAGTTACTTTGACTGTATGCACAATAATAGTAATTTTACATGTAATTTTGTAAAGTTCGGCCACAATATGCATAAAGTTGGGCCATAATATTGGTTTGATGGATGTTGGGTAAAAATTCATTGAAGCTGGTGAGTGCGATAGCTGCCATTCATTCAGGATAAATGTAAGGAGCAGTTAAGCTCCTTTTTGGAGTAAGATAGTTGAAACAATAGGAGAACCATCCCAAAACACAGGTCACATGCAAGGCTAGTCAGGAACCGAGCTACGTGGGAGGAGGGTATGTGGGAGAAGTATGGGTCTCTGGGTATTGTTTGATGGAGATGTGCACATCTGTGGGCAGGAGCAAGCAGAGAGAAGCAGCCAAAAAGCCAAGCAAACAGCAAGAGAAGCCCTGGAAATGTGGCTGGGAAAGAAAGCAAGAAGAAGTTTATTGGGCAGACTGGAAGCTGAAAAGAAGCTTTGAACTCTGAGCAAAGAAACTGCCTCCTGTTTGTCTGATACCCACTGTGTTCAGAGAAACAAAGACTTTGTGGACATGCTTTGTAAATGAAAAGGACTGCATCAAAGAAATACATGACTCTAAAATGGCAAATTTGCCATATATCCTATTAAATACGTCTTTGCCTTTCTCCCTGTATTTTAGAAAATATTAATGCGTTTCTTTTTGATAAACATTAATCCATACTTTTCATATGTGAAGTTTGTCTATCAAAAGGCAAAAACATCATTTTTTGAACTCTAGGAGTTTTCTCATTAATTCTATTAATTTTTTAATATATTCACTGTGTGGGTTACTTCTTCATTTTTGGTTTTAGGTTGATTCTCTTCTTGTGGTAGGAGACCTAATGGTGCTCTCACAAATCTCCATGCATGCTCAGTGATCAGTTGTGCAGCAGCAAGAAGGCCCTGCCCACTCCAATGCAACTACCTGCCTTCTGAATCATCTCCCTTCCCTTGAAGTGGGGAAGGGCTGGTGGCTGTCCTCAAAGCTCTCCCCCTTCTTGTCACCTGACCCACATCTTCAAACTGCTCTACACTGTGTGCACTAGAAAACAACTACTTTCCCTGTCTTCTTCCCTCCCTCTTTCTCTATATATATTTCGCTAAATTATTTAAAAATGTAGACAGGAAAACACACAAACAATCACACACACACAAGGAGGACTGGAACTAAAAATATCTACCACACTGGCTGCCAGCACTGCACCCACCAGAACTACAATTCTAACTGAGATGCTGCTGTTACACAAACCACAGATAGCGGATCAGGCAGTGTCAAGTATATGCAGAAAAAGATTAACCTGATAGCAGCTGTTCTTCTGACCAGGGATGAGTGAGCATGCACAGAGGTTTTGCTTAATGTAGGAAGGGCTGCCTGAATGGATTTGTGGTGAAGACAGCTATTTATTTTATTATAAAAGTAATAAAGTTACAATTTGCTTTGCTCCAGGGCCATGGAGACTGGGTGATGGATGTTGCAATTAGCAACAACAAGAAATGGATCCTTTCTTCCTCAAAGGTAACAACTAACTTACAGATGTGGTATAGGAAGCTAATTTGGAAACAGATTTCACTGTGTATTTCAATATTTGTTTTAGAAAAATTATAATTTAATGTAACAGTTGACCCAGACAGTCTTTCATTTGTAGTTTTACGATCAGTTGAAAAGCAATTACAGAAAATATTAAAAGGAACTTTATATGTAGGTGTACATGTTTGGTGTGACCCATAAATTCAGTTTCTAAGATTACTAAATATTTGTGGTGAGTAAAACAATTATTTGTTTTCAAAGTAATGACAGTTTTAAAAATAATGCCCATCTCTTATCCAAGAAATTTTCCTGGCTTATAAGTAGAGTTATTTGTGCTTTGTGCAACTGATGAGGCCTTTATCCATTGGACAAATACTGTAGCTTGCTATGGTGCTTGACCAGTGATAACATATAAATACATGTCCTAATTGTTGTTTCTGACTTTTAGGATGCTACTTTGAGATTATGGAACATTGAAAAGGCTGATCATGTTCCTGCGGCAATAGAAAGCAGAAATACAAGAGGCACAAAAATAGTTCAGGTAAGCATTATGTGAAGTTACAGCTGATGGGTCTGCCCATATAGTCTCAAACCTCACTCTGTTCAAAACCAAAATATGAATGGCTGAAAGGACATTGTCAACAAGATTGCTGGGTTCAAACATTGATTTACCTTATTTTTGTCTTCTGTTCACAAAATTCATGTAATTATTTATATGTGAGTGGGGGAGGGAGAAGAGTAAGGAATTTCAAAACAGATGCATCAATGCTTTTCTTTGTTTTTTTTTAAAAAGTATTTGGTAAGGATGCAGAAGTCCATGTACAGATGCCATTGTATTTTTAGAAACAATAGTAAACCAGATTAATTTTTTTTAAATAAAAAAATCCTTTGGCTTCCAAACCTGATGCTTAGTAGTGTGATTGGCTGCATATTTAGCAATACTGCTGGCCTCAGGTAGTGGTATTCATGCACTCATGCACATTTATGACTCCCCAATAAACAAAACAAATATTGAGTTTACAAAAGAAGGAAAAGAAAAGGTATGAAATCACTACCAGAGGTTAAGAGGAGGGGGAAAAAAAGAAATTTTGATGACAATTCAGTTTTAATTCCAATTAAACAATTTGTTCTAAGCCGTGTGAGATTGGGAAAGGAACCCCATCTTTATTTGTTTTGTAAAACCCATCACACCTCCAGAGCTGTATAAACTAATAATAATAAATTTGCTAAGGCAATATCACAAACTACAAAAAGATACTAGTAAGTTTAGGAAAGCTTCCTGCACAATGACTGAATGAGCCTGATTTTTCAAGAGTATTGAGCACACACTGCACCATTTGAAGCTAATAAGAGCTACAAGTGCTCAGCACCTCTGAAAATCAGGGCTGCATATTTATAGTTGAGCATCAGTTGTAAGATAATTCATGCCTGGCACATATGATTAACTCACATCCTTTTTGTTGTTTTTTCATGTTACATTTATATCAGTGTGAAGAATGTGAAAAACCTTTCTCACTCCTACAGTGTGATGACTCTGAAGCGGTAACCAAGTGTGTATTCTGTCGACTGGCTTCTCCTTCGAGAAATATTTTGCCATTACCCCCATTGTAGTGCCTGATCTCTAAATTCTTCCCAACAGACTATTTGTGCAAATACATTTGAGTTTTTAAGCATATGCCTATACCTAATTGTGATTATCAGTATATTATATTGCATGTAAATACAGAGCCAAGGACTTCCTCCATACTTCTGTGCCATACAGTAACATCTATGTTAAAAAAAATTTGCTTATTCATTGTACACATGTGCAATATACATACTGAGTTTCACCGTGTAACAGATGACCGGATCAAGTCCTAAGATTTTAAATCTATTCATATTGTACAAGAAAATAAAATTACATTCATCTCCTTTAAGTGAGCACACTTAATAAAGGTGGTTGTAACAAAGAAAATATGTGACTAAGTAATTTGCTGACAGTTGTCCTTAAATTGTGTAGAATAAAACCATCTTTTTTTACTATGGAGTGGAGTATACTGGAAATATGAAAAACATTTGCATCAATTGAAAATGCTAAAGGGTTTTGAAATTTGAATGTGGAGAGGGCATTTGGACCATGAGGTTTGTATTATCTTGCTTCCAACATCCCTTATAAAATGTTTCTAGGAACTTTCAATCACAAGAATACGTTATTATTTGTGTTTGACATGACATATGCCAAACTAGTCCCATATATTCAGGACCCAATCCTGCCAGCACCCTCAACTCCAGCACTGCTCAGGATTTGTCCCTAAAAGTCTATACCTCTTCACCAGCTATGTGAGGATGTCAATTAATATGAGATTAGTGTTTCAAGATGTGGGGACCTCATTCATCAAAAACGTGTTTCAGCAGATTATATTATTTTAAAAGGGATTTATAAGAAGAAAAAATATATTGTACCTGGATATGTAGTAGTCTGGAATGTAGTTAAGCTATGAAATAAATGGAACTCTATTATGGGTCTTTCTTTCTTTTTTAAGCCATGTGAATTGTGTAGCCTCGGTAGCTACAGTTGCACTTGACTCCAAGGTGAAAAGAAAATGATTTTTTAAGAAATAATATGTTTTATCCAGATTTACTGCTTTGAATAAAACATGAGGTGACAAGCTGTAACATATCCCAAGACACTGTCCTCTTTTTCCTCTTAATTAAATATCATTGGTTTGCAGTAAAAAGTTGAAAAAATGCAGTTTGTATGGTGCTGGAATTATTTTTGCAGAATACATAAAATGTGCCTGTCTTATTGTTGGAATAATTACCCTTAAATATGAATAATAATACTGAACTAATTTCTGCATGTTTGAAAATAATCTCAGTTTAATTAAATAATATTCTTATAATATTTGAATTAGGAATGTCCTTTATTTGCTCTTCCTGTCCCATTTAGCTGAAAAAATCAAAGCGCTAAGATTTTCCATTGAGAGAGCAAAACTAATTACTCTATAGAGGGTTATTTTTGTGTATAAATAGTGTGACATTCAGAGATGAATAGGTTGGAAATTTTCTTTTGAAAGGGTCTTTTATTTCCCAAATTAATAAAGACAAGTCAAACTGATACTTTGCTGTCGGAAACATAAGTCTTATTAAATCAGTTTGTATTTTACTGCTTATTTGACAGAATCAATTTGATAGACCAAGACAAAGAATAGAGAGAACAGGAAATTCTACAACTATATCATAGACCAGTGGTTCTCAACCAGGGTTCCGGGGTCCCCTGGGGGGCTGTGAGCAGGTTTCAGGGAGGTCTGCCAAGCAGGGTCAGCATTAGACTTGTGGGGGCCCAGGGCAGAAAGCCAAAGCCTGAGCAATGTAGCTTCGCAGGGGCCCCAGTGCATGGGACCCCGGGGAATTACTCTGCTTGCTACCCCCTAATGCTGGCCCTGGTTTTTATATGCAGAAAAACAGTTGTTGTAACACAGGTGGGCACTGAACATAAGACCATAAGAACGGCCACAATGGATCAGACCAAAGGTCCATCTAGCCCAGTATCCTGTCTTCTGATAGTGGCCAATGCCAGGTGCCTCAGTGGAGTTTTTATAGCATGGTCGGGGGAGGGGGGGGCGGACTTCAGAAGGAAAAAGGTTGAGAACCCCTGTCATAGACCATTTAAACCAGTTAAGTGCTTGGGAATATATAGCTTATTTTGGGCCTGATTTATAAGGTAGGGCATTCAAGAGTTACATAACAAACTTTTGTTTGATGAATAAAGGCTCAAGAACTCCCCAAAACTATCTACTGTGTCCCTTTTAAGCTAGTAGCACCATCTGCACTGCTGCCGGACTTCCTATGTTTTTGCACTTCTCTGCAGGTAATTATGACTGCTCTTGTGGGTCTGCTATAGGAGAAGGAGAGGCATACTGACATAGCCATGAGTTGGTTCTAAGTATGACCCTTGAATCCCTGGCTTTACTGTTGAGGAAACTGTAATTATATCCAATTCTGTAATCAGATCCATAACAGGAGGATCCCTGTAACCCCTACAGATCTGATTGCAGGACTGGAGCCGCAGATTCAATAGCTATTGTCATAAATATAAAGGGAAGGGTAAACACCTTTAAATCCCTCCTGGCCAGAGGAAAAACCCTTTCACCTGTAAAGGGTTAAGAAGCTAAGATAACCTTGCTGGCACCTGAGGAAAAACCCTTTCACCTGTAAAGGGTTAAGAAGCTAAGATAACCTTGCTGGCACCTGACCAAAATGACCAATGAGGAGACAAGATACTTTCAAAGCAGGGGGGGACAAAGGGTCCTCTCAGTCTGTGTGTGATGCTTTTGCTGGGACCAGAGCAGGAATGCAGGTCAAAACTCCTGTAAAGAGTTAGTAAGCAATCTAGTTAGATATGCATTAAATTCTGTTTTGTTTCAATGGCTGATAAAATAAGCTGTGCTGAATGGAATGTATATTCCTGTTTTTGTGTCTTTTTGTAACTTAAGGTTTTGCCTAGAGGGATTCTCTATGTTTTGAATCTGATTACCCTATAAGGTATTTACCTTCCTGATTTTACAGAGGTGATTCTTTTACTTTAATTAAAATTCTTCTTTTAAGAACCTGATTGCTTTTTTCATTGTTCTTAAGATCCAAGCGTTTGGGTCTGTGTTCACCTATGCAAAGTGATGACGATTTTTATCAAGCCTTCCCCAGGAAAGGGGGTGTAGTGCTTGGGGGGGATATTTTTGGGGGAGACATTTCCAAGTGGGCACTTCCCCTGTTCTTTGTGTAACACTTTGGTGGTGGCAGCTTTTAACCTAAGCTGGTAAGAATAAGCTTAGGGGGTCTTTCATGCAGGTCCCCACATCTGTACCCTAGAGTTCAGAGTGGGGAAGGAACCTTGACAGCTGTTATTTCTATTTTTAAAGTCATCAGTTTGCTTGGCATAGCATGAAACAGAGCATTTGCCCCAAGAAGCTAACAGTGTAAAGGCACCCTGAGAGAGGAATTCCCACTGATGTCTGTGGACATTCTGCATGTGGAGGGCTTACCAGACCTGGATCTAAATTAGAAAAAAATAATTTAAATTATATGCGTCTTGTGTAGACAAGCTCTGAGATACACAACCTGGGCAGCAATCGATCCAGCAGGGGTCAATTTATCGCAACTAGTATAGACGCGATAAATCGACCACTGAGCACTCTCCCATCGACTCTGGTACTCCACCAGAACGAGAAGCGCAAGCAGAGTCGACAGGAGAGCGTCAGCTGTCCATTTACCACAATGAAGACACCGCAGTAAGTAGATCTAAGTATGTCAACTTCAGCTATGCTATTCATGTAGCTGAAATTGCGTATCTTAGATTGACCCTGTGCGGTAGCGTAGACAAGCCCTCTGTGAGGTGCATGTATGGACAGGTCTACACTACAGCGGGGATTGACGCTCTAAGATTGATCCACGGTGGTCAATTGAGTGGGTCTAGTTGACCCCTGTACTCTACCCCAGATGAGAAGAATAAAGTAAATCTCCTGTAGACCTCCCATGTTGTAGACCCTGTGGTAACTCAACCTAAGGTACGTTGACTCCAGCTACGTTATTCACGTAGTTGGAGTTGCATAGTGTAGGTTGATTTATCACGGTAGTGTAGACATAGCCTATGTCTGCAACCTGCCCACCTGCTATTGTGAGACTGGCTCCATAGCTATGCTGTTATATCCATGTAGCATAGATAGGGTTGCCAACTTTCTAATCGCTGAAAACTGAACACCTTTGCCCCGCCCCTTCTCCGAGGCCCTACCTCTGCCCTGCCCCTTTCCGAGGCCCTGTCCCTGCTCACTCCATCCCCCCTCCCTCCGTCACTTGCTCTCCCCCACCCTCACTCACTCACTTTCACTGGTCTGGGGCCAAGGGGTTTGGTGTGCGGGACGGTTTGGGTGTGGGTTCTGGGAGGGAGTTTGGGTGTGTGACGGGGCTCGGGGCTGGAGCAGCGAGTTGGGGTGCAGGAGGGGGTGAGGGGTGCGAGCTCTGGGTGGCGCTTACCTCAGGTGGCTGCTCGGAAGTGGCTGGCATGTCCCTCCAGCTCCTAGGCATGGGGTGGGGCCATGGGGTGGGGGCCATGGGGGCTCTGCACACTGCCCAGTCTCAAGTGCCACCCCTACATGTAGGAGCCAGAGGGACATGCCAGTACTACACCGGCTGCTTCCTGGGAGTGGCACAGAACCGGGTAGGGACCCTGCAAGCCCTGCATCAACTGGACTTTTATTGGTGCTGACTGGAGCTGCCAGGGTCCCCTGTCCAACCGGATGTTCCAGTCAAAAATCGGACACCTGGCAACCCTAAGCGTAGATGCAGTCTCCAGTGACAGAAGGGCTTTTCTGTCACTGTTGGAACACCAGTTCTCCAAGCGACAGTCTCGGTCAAGGGAAGCATTCTTCCAGCAACCATGCTGCATCGATGCCGGGGTTTGGGCTGGCATAGCTATGGGCTCGACATACCTCCCACCCTCTCCAGTGGCTAAAGTGGTATGCCATGCCCCACAGGTTTGGCCAGTCTGCCCCGAGAGAGAGATGGGGTGCTGCTGGCCAGCCCAGATTTGATTGGCAGGGAGACTTAGCACATGGGGTCGCAACACCACTCAAATTTGGTCCGGCTGCTGCTCCGGAGATGGGGGGCAGCCAGACCAAACCGGACTGGCACCGTGACACTGTGCGCCAGGTCCCAACACCACTCGGTTTTGTGGGGCGTTCCCACCTGGCACGTGGGGAGGCCCAGGACAACTGCCCCTTTTGTCTCCTCTCCTCAACCGCCCGGCCCTGAAGGTGGGAAATGTTCTGGTTCACCCAGGCCACGGGCCGGAGGGTGCAGGTCAAAGCCGGACAGCCCCACGGAACCCAGGCCGGCCCGACGTCTGCTACGCTGCTGGGCGGTGGATTTTTCACCCCCCGATGCCCTAGCTAGGGTGACCTACATGTTAGGTGTACGGCAGCCCTGGGCGGCAAGGGCAAGGTGCACCCCCCCCCCCGGCTCTTTGAGGGTTGGGGTGGGTGCCTCTGCCAGGCTAGGAGGGGGCTGAGAGCAGCGGGAGGCCCCCACCCCCCGCGCTGTTCGGGGTGCCGCCGAGGCGCGGGGGTTGGGAGCGAGCGCAGTATTGTGCAGCGGGCTCGCAGCACCCCGAGGAGTATTGGGGGTGTCGCTTGCACCCCGGCCCCACGCGGTCCGAGCACCCACCTCCCTTTGTGTGCGGAGAGTGGCTGCCGAGCCATGGATGGGGCCGCCTCGCCGCCCAAAGGAGTAGCCGGCGCCGTGGCTTAGTTGGTTAAAGCGCCTGTCTAGTAAACAGGAGATCCTGGGTTCGAATCCCAGCGGTGCCTGCGCGGGCCGGGCTCCCGTTTTGCCCCGGGTTATTTTTATCTCCGCTCCCTGCTTGTCCCCCAGGGCGGGGACTCGTAGCGGAGCCGCCGCTGCCAGCAGTTCAGCTTCAGCAGGAGCCGCCGCCGTCAATGGAGCCGGATCTCCCCCTTCCCCTTCCGGAGCCAGCGGCCGCCCTGCCCGCAGCCATGATCCCGGGCACCCCGACCCCGGCCCCGCCCCGAGAGCCCTCCGCGGCCCCTGCGCCGCTTCCCAGAGCCCTACAGTGCTTGGCCCCTGCTTGCTGCGCTGCGCCCGCCCCCCTGCCGCGCTGCGCCCCGCGTAGTGCCCTGCCCCCACCCCCCTGCCGCGCTGCGCCCCGCGCAGTGCCCTGCCCCCCCTGCTGCGCTGCGCTCCACGTAGTGCCCTGCTCCTGCCCCGCCCCCCTCCTGCGCTGCGCCCCGCGTAGTGCCCTGCTGCGCTGCGCTCCACGTAGTGCCTGCCCTCCCCGCTGCGCTGCGCCCCGCGTAGTGCCCTGCCCCCCCCGCTGCGCTGCGCTCCACGTGGTGCCTGCCCCCCCGCTGCGCCCCACGTACTGCCCTGCTCCTGCCCCGCCCCCCTGCTGCGCTGCGCCCCGCGTAGTGCCCTGCCCCCCCGCTGCGCCCCACGTAGTGCCCTACTCCTGCCCCGCCCCCTTACTGCGCCCCGCGTAGTGCCCTGCCCCCCCGCTGCGCTCCACGTGGTGCCTGCCCCCCCTGTTGCGCTGCGCTCCACGTAGTGCCCTGCCCCTGCCCCCCACTGCGCTGCGCCCCGCGTAGTGCCCTGCCCCTACCCCCGCGCTCCGCTGCGCTGCGCCGCGCCCCGCGTACTGCCCTGCCCCTGCCCCTGCCCCTGCCCCGCCCACCGCTGTGCTGCGGCCGGCGTAGTGCCCTGCCCCCTGCTGCGCCGCGCCCCGCCCCGCCCCGCGTAGTGCCCTGCCCCCTGCTGCGCCGCGCCCCGCCCCGCGTAGTGCCCTGCCCCCTCCCTGCCACCCGCCTGCTGCGCTGCGGCACCCAGTGTCTAGTTCCCTGCTTTGTGCCTGCTGTACCCAGACGGCCTGACACACTGCCCTGCCTCCACGCCCAAGTGACCTCCGTGTTTCATACCTTCAACTGTACCTGGTGTCCTGTCCTGCAACCCCCCATCCTTCCCTGCTCTGTTTGCCCTGTGCTCTCTTCACTGCTCTGCACCCACAGTGCTGGGCACCCTGACCTATCTGTTGCTTGCCTTACACCCGTAAAGCTTGGCACCCTGCCCTGCAAGCTGCATGGTCAGTTCTTACAGTGCCCTGCCCTGACCACTGCCTGCCCTGCCCTCCCTTCACAGCAGGCAGAAGCAGGTAGCCCCAATACACGAGATGAAGTCTTTCCCCAAGCTGCTGGGGCTACTGCTTTTCCAGCTTCTCTCCTTGGGGTGGGCTCTACGAAGTCCTCACAAAACTGATTAAGCTAGAGAGGAGATCCAGCTACTGCTGAACGTACACAACTGTAGTCAGAAGATGGATGCTCCAGCTGCCAATGTGCTCAGGCTGGTAGGTAGCTGCTCTCTGGGAAGCTCTTGTCCCACCAGTAGCTCCATCCTTTACAGGAGAACGAGCTAATGCATTCACTAGCAGAAAGTCAGTAGTGGAGGTTCTTCAGTATTTACTGGTTTGTACCAGTGGGCTTATTTTAACCATCCTAAGTATCTATAACCAAACTGTACCTTAAGAAGTTGACAAGTTTAGAGAGTATGATATGATCCCTTTTTTTTGTCAAATAAAATTTAGCATACTAAATTTAGCTGATGTGTTTTATATGTCCTGAACTCAATACTTCTCTAATTGTTTGAACAAGAGATACTAAGCTTCTCTTTTGATCGGAAGAGCAAGGTTCAGAAAAAAAGGACAGAAAGAAAAGTTACCTCTGTACACTGCTTTCCAGATTGCCTTTAATGAGGCCAGAGGTTGTCTAAATGAGTTAACAGGGTTTTCTTTGTTTATTGCCATTTCAGTAATTTCAAAGCAGCATGTACTATTAAATGCATCAATTTTACATCAAACGGGTAATGGATAGAAAGTGGTTACTTATTATTTATGGTGTATGTTATACATTACTCTGGGTCATTGCCAACCTGAGGATGATTAATAGTCGGGATTTAATAATATTTCAATATGGTGTTTTCTACTAGGCAGTTTATTTAACAACAGACTTACAATGCCTATCACCATTATTCTTGTCCTATAGAATATTGAGTTGACCCATGTTGCTGTAATTGAAGTTATACCAAGTAATTGGTTATTTTTATATTTTGAAAAGTATCTTTTCATAGTATGTTTAATCAATATTTTAGAATGTTTAAACACGTGCTTTAGAGATAGCTAAAGTGCGTGTTAGTTTGAATCAAACTGAAGGACAATCATACGTATTTACTGTAAAGGCTTAGAGTGTCTAGTCCATGTTTAATGTTAAATAAGTTGTGGTGTTGTATGTTTGCGTTGCTGTCGGCAATTTCAGTTTTCTATAAAAGAATTTTGAGGTGCCTATTCCTTGATGAGCTGAAGACAGTATCAAAGGCCTCAGCCTTTCAACAGGTTTTTTAGATTTTCATTCACAAAAAGGCAGGGAGATTCCAACCTCAAAACTCTCTGTTCCCTGGCTCTAAATCTTCAATATCTTCTTAGTTAGGGAATGAACTTACTCTTTTCTCCTCTCTTTTTTCTATACTTGGCATTTATATTTGCAAAATGTATTACAGAAAGGTATTGACATCACTGAACAGCTTTGGGACTTTTTATTTGGCTTCCCCTACTGAAGGATTTCACAAATAAATCAGTCTATTCCCTGTGTAAAGTGGTAACAAATTCTCTGTGCTGTAGAAATGCTGGGTGCATAGGGGGAAAAACGTAACATTTCAAATCTGAACCTATATATAACATTTACGAGCCATATTCTGCCCTCCATTATGCCATTGCATTGACTTCAGTACTGTTATTCCAGACTTACACCAGGGTAAATGAGAGAAAAATTTGTCCCTAAATCTAATGGCAAAAGGCCGGATCCTGCAAACATTACCAGGTGTAGTGAGTAACCCCAATGAAGTGAAGTTAGAATGACCAGATGTCCCGATTTTATAGGGACAGTCCCAATAGTCAGGGCTTTGTTTTATATAGGTGCCTATTACGTTCTGCCCCCATCTCGATTTTTCACACTTGCTATCTGGTCGCCCTAAGTAAAGTATTAGAGCCTGAAGGTCCCAATCCTGCAGATGCTTACACATGTGAGTAACCGTAGTCATGCGTGAAATGTTATAACCTTTAAGGCTCTTCATGTGAATAAAGTTACAAGAGACTGAAATTGGTTCCTTTCTCCCAGTTCCTTATTCATACTGTCAGCTTCTGATTTGTGGTTGTTTAAGTTATTCATTTGCATGTGTGCAGAACCAGAGCCTATGGCTATCAGACCTGCATGGGCAGAATCCTGTTGTTGGATCATATTAAAGAAGTTCTATATTAAAACCACAAATGAGTTTGATTCCCCATAGTTTAAATTCCAGGGTATTACTAATTAAGAGGTCTCTTGGTTTTTGGTACTGTTTCTCTCCCTCTATGTGTGAAACTTGCAAGCTGCTAATTGTGTTAGTACATTCTAAGACAGAGTGTGCTCTCAGAGCAATTCTTTGTAACAGCAACTACTCACACAGAGAGAGACTCAAAGCAATACTCTGTAACAATAGAAACAGCACCCAGAGACTCCCCACCCTTTTGTTGTATTCATCTCTCTTTGTTAACAATTGTGATTAAAATAGAGATAGAGGATGTATGTGGATGGATGCTTGGTGTGGATAATAACTGAATGATCAGGGAGGTGCCAGCCTAAGAATCCAGTGTCCATCTGCTGAAGAAGGCGTCAAGTGGAAATAACCAGAGGACCCCGGCGGGCAGACTGGAATCCACCCAACAGCCTCAAGAATGGGAGAACCAAAGAACAAGATAACATCTGGCAGCACGGAGCCGTCAGGAATGTGCTATCTGCTGATTGATTCAGCAACAGCATGATGAAGCAATTCCCATAGACTGGCATAGGAAGAAATTCCTATAAAAATGGACTCTAGAAAGTGAGAACTTTGGGGTCTGATTCTGCAAACCAACTTCCAGGAGCATCAGATGTGCATCTGACAAGGCCCTGCTCCCTCCTCATGTCCAGGCCACCTGGCCAGTGGCTTGGCATGAGCAACTCTAAGGCTGGTAACTATGATAACAACCTTGCAGAACCTGTGTGTGTGTGTGTGTATGAATGAATGTGTGAATAAATATGAGATTGAATGGAATGTTATAACTATAACTAACTGCTTACTATGATTCTTTCAATATTCACAATAAATGTGGTATTTTGCCTTTTCCCCTTTAATAAGATCCTGCTGGTTTTTATTTTATTGGTATAACACTGCCTATACAGATAGATCCCTTTGGGGCAATGAATGGGCACAGGCAGAATGCAGGCGTCTAATTTACAGGATCAGAGCTTCAGATTGTAAGATGCTCAAACAGGGATCTTTCAGTTGTATTTATTTATAGGGTACTATATAAATAATATTTAATAATAGGCAATATAAATAGTAAGCATAATCCAAAAAGAAACTTCAGACATTAAACAAATTTTACATTGAAAACTGAAAAAAATGTATTTTGGAGTATCTGGGTATCTTGGGAATAAACTCCCTTGTACAGACTTTATATATAAACGTTGTATGGAGGAAAACAAAAGAACTATAATGTGAAAAAATTAAAATGAAAGAATAAATTAAGGCCATATTTATCATATCACACTATGATACTTTTCAGTAGTTCACTGATTAGTATTGTAAAGAAAACTCCAAGAAAAAGAAACCCCTAAGGAGCCTGCCCATAATGCTTCCAGCTGACATTAACTATTGGAGTATAGATCCATAGCTGCATAGAAAACGATGATTTACAAAAAGTAAAATCTTGTATAAAGCATTTTTCTACTTCTTTGATCTTATTGTATGATAAGAACAAAATTACACAACTTCTTAGAATCAGTTCTGAGCTAAAACCCTGGTCACAAATCCACATCAGAGGAAATTTTATTACAGATAAGAA